CATGTACCTCGGGTCTCACCCTGGCGGCTGAGACAAAACTCCCCAACCATCTTGGCGGCACATCAATGACAACCTTATCAGGATAGGTCTCCTCAGACCGACCCACTGGCTGTGAACATTTTAAACTAACACGAGTCTCATTAAGTGTCCAGTTTAAGGATCTTACACAGAAACATATCAAACAAGCACTTTATTCATTTATACTAAATGCCTAAAGTACATCAAAACTGATTGGAGCTAAGGGCATACAAACTGTCTAACAGAGTCGACCAATCAACAACCTTGTTTGCTTCCAAAAAAACATGATGATAGTAGATTCCACGATCCATCTTTTCTTTCAACTCCCAACATTCWTCATCTTAGATAGTGTATGCCCTAGCTCCAATCAGATTGATGTACTAGTGCATTTATTGTAAATGACTAATAGTACATAATTGATTCGTGTTATTATGGTATGTTTCTGTGTAATACCCTTAAACTGGACACTAATGAGACTCGTGTTAGTTTAAAATCTTCACAGCCGTTGGATAGACATGGGGAGGTTTATCCTGCCAAGGCTAACACTAATGTGCTGCCAAGTGGGTTAGGGTGGCTTGTCTCAATTGCTAGGGTGAGACCTGAGGCACATGCAGTGTGGGTTTTCGTGAAACCCTAAACCGGACCAAATTCCAGTTTTGCCATGGACCTTGGAGACAGATGGGCAAAACCGGAATGTTACACCTGAGCCCTAGACTCGATTATGGTACTGCACTAGGTGTCGGATTGGGCTGTCTTTCATATGCCAATCAGTGAGCTCCTTAGAGGGGGTCAAAACCTGGGTATGTTGGGGCAGTTCGAGAATTCACCTGAGTGGGTGATCATAGTGATAGGATCAGCCCCCTTGTCGGACAAAATGAATGATTGGGGAATGCACTCTCTCTGATGGAAACCTAAACTACTAATAGTTGATTTCAAACTTATTGAAATTTGTTTGGCAAAATATATTTATATAGARTTATACATATATATTATGGTTTCACAAAATGTTTGCAAAAAGGTCTTAATTCTCGGGATCCATGTGAGTAGAGAGTGCAACACTATACCTTGCAGCCGAGGGAAATGTCATCTCTTGTCGGGTAGTGTTTGATCATTATGGGCTGAGAGGTTAAGTGTAAGACCATTTAGGGATAATAAACTTGATGGGCTAATCTCACATCTGTCCACAGTCCTTGTTCCTTCACAAGATGGTTGGACCCAACGACCATTTAGTGTAAATGTTGGGCCCATTAAGAGCCTATACTGATGGACTYGGGGGTTTACTACATTCAGCAATGAATTTGGCCAGGCCTTGTAACAAAAGCTAAGCTAAACCCATGTGTCTTATGTGGAGATCAATGATAGGATCCTACACCATACAAAGAGAGCCAAGCTAGCCAGCATTAAAGGAAGTGAGCTTGAAAGCTTAATGGGCCTAAAGCCCATTTCGAACTGGGTTAATTGGATTAATTAAATAGGGGGTGAATCTGGGTATGGATCAACAGATAAGGATAAGAAGATAACTCTTATCCACTTAAAGAATCTAGATCCAAATAAATATTTGGATTAGGAAACTTCTAATTGGATTAAGAGAAGCTAATCCTGATCTACAAATACGATAAGGGATAAACCTTATCACTTAAAAAGTCCTGATCCAAATAAAGATTTCAATCAAGAAACTCCTAATCAGATTAGGAGATTAACTCTTTAAGGTCTATATAAAGGAGGAGGGCGAACTGGAATAAGACACATAGTTTGACTGACTTTTATTCATTCAGTTCTCTCTCTTTGTTCTTGCCAGCCTACCCTATTCATTCTCCACCTCTTGGAGTGATCAAGATTGGATCTTGATATTGTTTCTTGGTGGAAGAAACAATCTTGAAGCTGTTCTTACATCCCTACACAATTCTTGCTAAAGAATTGGGATTCTTGCTGAAGAATCCACTTATTGATCTTACCTCACCCTAAGCTGTGTCATCTTCAGTGGAGGAAAGATTTGGTACCCTCTTTGGGCGTGAACACCTACGTTGGGAGAAGCTTTTTGCATGGATTCCATATCAGGTATTCCTCTCCCTAATCTTGGTTTAAGATTTGGTCTAGTTTGTTTTAAGAATGAACATTGAAAAATGCAGTTTTTCTAAATCAGGGAATAGAATTCTCGAATGGGATAAATATATTTTTGAAATTTCACCCAGCCACCCTACATGGTTCAGCCATGCATATGATGGATCTCTCATCCCTTCACTTCAATGGTTGTCAAAATGTTCCAAGGAGGGGTAGCACGCTTCTTTAGGCAATCGATAACCAATCTTGAATCTCCCTCGATGATCACTAAAAGATTCCTRAAATTTATGGCTTTGATTGTAGTTTTGCTTATGCAGCAATTTTTAATATAAAAAATCCTACCACTTTGATCCCTAGCAATGCACCCAGCCAAGCACATGCCATTCCTACTACAAGAGGCATCAAAATTAATTTTTACAGAACCCTCTTGCAGACTCTTCTAGAAAATGTTCTTCCACGCTTTTGATAGAGGTCTATCCTCCTCTTCATGAGAGGCTTTTACCCTAAGGGATAAATCCATAGCTTTCTTGATTAGAATAAATCCGTAGCATTTATAATACACCTATATTATAAGCAGTTAACTTCAAAAAAAACAAAACATCTAAAAAAAATACTCCAAAACCCCCCATAATTGAGTTGGGTGTTTAAATAACCATTTCCGTTGGTAAGATGGATGGAAAAATACTCTCACAGGCTTCATGTAATATACAGGGAAAAATCATGATCAGCACCCTAAACTTTAGGGATTGTGTCAAGTCAACCCCTGAACTTTAAAATGTGTCTATGCAGAAACTTTTAGAATGTGTCTAATCGGTCCATATTGTTAACAATTCGTCAGTTAATTTTAGAAATGTCAAAACTACCCATCAAGTGTCATCTACTTTTCTTTATCTACCACTTTCGCATAAACCAATTTAAACAAAACTCCTTCCATTTAAATCTTGATTCTAGAAAACTATGTTGTCATTCCACCTTGATTCCAAGCAATCTTGTTTTCCAGCTTGTGGGATGATAGATTACTAGTTATTGATGATGAATCTGTGGTTAATGAAGTCAAATCCAAACACAAGTAAATTCTTAAATAAGAAAATAAGAAACTAAGTTATACCATTACAGTGCAACATTAACAATCAACATAACTTTTCCCTTGTAAATGCTAAGTTGGGCATCATTTCCCCTTGCATCCTAGCTGAGATAGGAAGGTTGTAGCAACTACCCAAGATAGATTTTAGAATATACAGGAAATTTTCATCAGTTACATAAATTTTTTAAAAAATTAAAAAATATACAAGAAGCCATAGCAAATGGTGGTTTTAGCCATCGCTAGAAGTTGGTCAGTAGGGGTGCAAATGGATCGAATTCGAATCGGATCAGGCAATATCCGAATTCAAATCCGATTAGAAAATCTGATATCCGAATTCGATTCGATATCTGATGGATATTGAAAATCAATATCCGAATTCGAATCCAATTAAATATTTGAATATTCGATTCGATTTGAATTCGAATAATTAATTATTTTAGATAATTAATAAATATATAAAATAAATATTTTATTGATATAAAGTATATAAATATATAAATTATTTATATAATTTAATTATTATATATAAATTATATAAAATATTTTATATATTACATATAAGAATTAAATAATTGGTCGAATTTGGATATTTATCGAATCGAATCARGTCATATTCGAATTYGAATCCGATTAATTATTCGGTAAGAACAGGATAA